GTAAGAAAATTTATATTACTGATGAAATATTTCTGACAAATTTATATTTGTAAAAAATGTAAGAATTTTTGACAAAAATTGACAATCATATATTAAAAAAGATCATCAATAAAATTTTATATATATATATATATATATATATATATATCAGAGAGAGAGAGAGAGGAGGAATCAAATGACTCATAAAATAACTCTTAGTCAAGTTACTTTACTCAATAACTCATGGTGTATGTTGAATTTCATCGATCCAATTATTAAATTAAAAGTTATTAAATTTTACTAATAAATAATATAGAAAATTTATTAGCTTCAGAATAAATTATTTGCAAACAATATAGTTGAAAAATTAATTATTTTAAAAGAGAAGAATTATAATAACACCAGCGTAACTTTTACTAAGTATTACACCACTCAATAACTTTATATTAAATGTGAATTTTATAAATTCAACTGTTAGATTGAAATTTTTTTACTCTTAGATCATATTTTCAAAATTTTATATTAATTCAAGATGATTTGATACTTCATTCTTGTAAAATAAAATTGACGTAATATATACATTTCAAAATATACTAAAATATGGATATTTTGATTACCTTAAAGTTGTTGCTCAATTTTAACAAAATTTGATATAAACATATAAAGTGATATGAACTTTCAATCTAACGGTTGGGTTTACAAAATTCACACTTAATATAAAGTTATTGAGTGGTATAATACTTAGTAAATGTTACACCGGTGTTATTATAACCCTTCTCATTTTAAAATATATAAATTATTATTTAAAATTTTAAATTTATAATAAATAATTTAAATTGTATCATAATATTAATTTTAAATAAAAATAAGTAGATTGTTAATTATAAAAGTAATAAGTGTATATATATATATATAAATAAATATAATATAATAATTATTATTAGTAATATAATTTTTATATATTATTATATTTTTATAACGGTCCGGACACATCGAAATGAGAGGGATCCAAAGATAGTACAAGTATGAGATTGTATAGTTGAGGATGACTTAAATGAATTAATTTGTACTACCTATACTGACAACATGCATCTGCTTTTTGGTACTTTATCTTATCAGAACTCCACAACTAAGCGTTCTTGACTTGGAGTAATATAGGGATGGGTGACTGTCTGGGAAGTTTCCTAGAGATTGTGCAAGTAAGGACATAACACGCTAAAAAGTGAAGTGTCACGAAATAGAATTCTTGAGAGACCAAATATGAGGGTTGTTACATTAATAAATTTATTAAAATAAAAAAAAAATTTCTGACGGATTTATCTATCGAAATCATAAATATTTTCAAACAATTTTCTATTGATGTATCCGTCAGTAATTTCTAACAGAAATTTTTGATATTCCTTTTTACCGATAGATTATGTCCGTCAGAAATTTGCATTTTTCTTGTAGTGACACTAGTGCAAAAGAGGTATTCTACATCAGTTATTTTGGGGTTTTTACATCGTAAATAAGTCTGATGTCAATGTAGGAGACGTAAATTCACGTCAGATCCACTATGTCTAACGTAAAATGGTTTCCATCTTGCGTTGCCAAATCATCTTCCTCGTCATCGGTGGTGTTTACCTCTCCCGCGTCGCTGACTGGAAGCCTCAGGCCGGCTTCAAGGCTATCCTCCTAGCCCTCTACGCGCACGAAACAACCTCACACGCCACCCAATTGCTCTCTATCACCATCCCTGACCTCACAAACCCCAGCATCTACCACGACACCAAAGCCCCCTAACAAAAATGCCACCCCCGAGGTGGCACTCGTGTCCCCCACCCTCGAACCCCACGGCACCATGAGGTCCCAAACCACGCCCTCCACTTTGTTGCGCCAACTCGCTAAGGAGGTGATCTCGCTGCGGTGTGCCTCTAGGGCCGCCATGTGGCTGCGTCAAATGCGGTCAACAGTGAAAGAGTACTCGGCAAAGGAGGCATCGAGGACAGCAGCGAGGTACTTGACAGTGCACTTGACGACGACGTGGTAGGCGTGGCAGAGGGAGGCAGCGGAGGCATCATTGGAGAGAAGCATTTAAAGAGAAAAATATTATTAATTTGATTACTTTTTTTTTCAAGTGAACTAATTTTTATTTGAATTTTGGCTAAATTGCACCTTTTGCCCCTTTTATATTGTTCAATTTATGAATTTAGTCTCCAAAGTCTTAATTTTGGTCAACCTATTAAATGTCTATCGATTAATTGCTAAAATTAGAAAATGGCCCATAAATTGACATTAAGTAAATGATAAGACAATTAATATTTAAGTTGAATTACTGTTTTAGTTATCATTTTTATTTTTTTTATTTATTTTCATCCACCCTTTTTATAGAGGTAAAAGGGATTTTAAATGTGAAATTTAATCTAAATATTATTAAATACTCACATCCTTCCTTGTTATAAGACACTTTTAACTTAACCATGCAAATCAATATAAGTAATTATATTAGTTGATTTTATTGGGTTTATAAATAAAATCATGATGTATTAATTTTATCTTTCTTACTTATCATTATATTTTTATGAGAAATGTGAAGATATTACTCCATATCAAAACTTATGTACTAATACCAATAAAATTGATAAATGACTAGTTGAAAAGTTTAAAGTGAGAGAAAACATTTATTTCTTAAATTTTCTTCTCATTATCAAATACCAAAAAACACATTATAACAATCTTTAATAGGAAACAAAAGACGAAAAATAAAAGTAATACTTTATAAAAATGTGTAAAGTGTTTGATAAAAAAATTATTATTTTCTTCTAAATTGTGCCTTATAATAAATATTAGAGGAAATATTAATTATCACATCATTTACGTAATGTCACAATCTATATTAATTTTTAATAGTTAGTCAATGAATATTTAAATCAAAATTACATACTTTAGAAAATTGAGAGACTGCTAAAATTATAAAATTAAGTTTTAGTAAACCACAATCACATAGTAAAATGTTATAGATACATGAAAATTACAACAATTGAGCTTTAAACGTGACATTACTGCTAAAATTATAAAATCAAGTTTTAAAAAACCACAATCACATAGTAAAATGTTATAGATTGATGAAAATTACAACAATTTAGCTTTAAATGTGACATTAGTTTTAGCTCAATAAGTCAAGGTGTGGCCCGAGAAGGAGGCCAATGCTAATGAGAAATGCATGTCATGGAGGAAGCCAACAGACATAATCATTCAATATGGTAAACATTCAAGTTCAACAATGTGTTTAATGTGAACATTTTTTGGTTCCCTTTTTATTAATGGTTTTTCTTTCTTAGCCCATGATACATTTATGAAGGCAAATTTTTCTTCCCTGCTCCGTAGACATATTTAAAAATAAATAAATAATCGATACTAATTCCTTCTACCATTAACCATTTACACGTGGTAAGTATATGCACCTGAGGCTGCGCCATGCTCATTTGTCAAAAGAATGCTTAGTTTTTCTCCATTCTTGTCACTGTCTCGTGCCCTTTCGAAAGCGAATGTGGAGTGTTGGTTTTCTTTGATGGTTTTAAAAAAGCCAACAGATTTTGGTCGCAACCTTGAGAAATAATGGCATACACAGTGACTAAGTGCAATAATCCTATGATATTTGTTATCTCGTGGTAAATGTTGCATGATAAGAAATACTAAATATGTTTTATTATTTATTTCAAGTTATTTTAAAATGATTAGGATATATTCAAACTATATAATTTGTTTACATTTTTTAATTGAAGGCTTGACTATATTTTTAATCCTTCAAATTTAAAGTAAATATTTTTTTTTCTAAAATTTAAAATTTTTATTTTTAATACTTAAATATAAAAAAAATTATTATTTTGATCCCTTAAATTGAAAATTTATCATTTTAGTCTTTACATATTTTTTTTAAATGTATTTTTTTAGATTTTTAGTCCTTACATATATTTTTTGGTCCTTCAAATTTAAAACATACATTTTTAACCCACAAAATAAAAAAAAAATATTGTTATAGTCTCTTCATTTAAATGTCATTAATTAATCTTTTATACAAAATTCTTTTACATGTGTTATTATCAAAGAAAACATCATATTAAATCAATAAATATTATAGAATTATTTTAATTTGTCACTGTTAATTATATTATTACTAATGTCATTGTGATGAAAACTTTACATAAAACCAACTAATACTACAAAATTATCATAATCAATCATTGTCAATAATGCTATCATTGACCATGAGGAACAAAAATTATATTTTTGAAATTACATGAACTAAATAACAAGTTTTAAATTTGAAAGATTAAAATAATATTTTTTTTTTATTTTGAGAACTAAAAATAGATATTTTAAATTTAAAAGACCAAAAAATTATATATATAAAAACTAAAATAATATATTTTTAAATTATAAATACTAAAAATATAAATTTTAAATTTGAATGAAAAATAATTATCCTGAATTTAGAAGAATAATAACATAACTTTTACCTAATTATAAATTATTATGTACGGTTAGATAGTGTATTTTATAATATTTGCTTTTGAAGTTATATCATTCAGTTAGATGACTAAGTTTGCATGTTACATGGGGCGATCGAAATAGAATATTTCGACTTTGATAAAGTCGGTGTGAGTCTTATAATATTTACATTTAATTATCCATGACAATCATCAATATAATGTTTTCTTACCATAATCAAAATCAAAAAATAATTGGAGAATGAATTATGACATTTTAAATATAATAAATATTTGTAAGTATTTTTCTTAAAATTCTTATCACGTAATTATAAGCACACAATAAAAAGAAAAAACCTCCTAATAATAATACAAATTTATTAACCATATAGTAAGATAATAGTTAAAAAAGAAAACAAAATATTAAAAATATATTATTTAATGTTGTCGTCCTTGGTTCATATCAAGATGGAAACTGTATGGAGTGTGACACTGTGGCATTAAGGAGGGACACCAGCTTTAAATGCGAGTTGGTTGAAGGTAGTTTCATTCCATTTTCTCTCTTGTCTTACACACTAAGTATTTATGGGATGGAAGGGATAAAGCTTGTTATCTTCATCCTCTTCTATAAATTACCAATATTTCATTTTATATACTCTTGCTTAAACCCAAATCTGTCACATAGAACAAACAGCACTAGAATTTCTAGGATACCCAGATGGACTTTGTGCCAAATCAATGCCCTATGAAGGGTTCCTTGAGGAATTTCGTTGAGAGGGTCAAAAGGGTTGGTACTCTCTCCGTCTCTACCATCATTGGGAACATCCTCTCTGCGATCTTGACCTTCTGCTTTGCATTAGGTACAATACTACTCTCATTTCGCCAAATTCTCGATCTGCTATGACCGAAGCTAACCTACACTACAGTGAGGATGGATAACTGCACTCCTTACTTTAATTAAATTATTAATATACTTTTTAAAATATTGTCTTTTCCTGTCTTTAATTTTATATACTGAACTCAGAAGATTATTTTTCATGTTTTGGTTTCTTATATACGATGATAATTATTAATTTTTATTTTTATAAAAAAATTGCCCCCACTGACTGATGTTGGATCTGCCACTGACAGGGTTGTGTTATGGACGAGGTTGTCCTTGAGTTTTTCGCCGATTATAGTTTTTACAGATACATGCATTTTTGTTTTGTTTAATTGTCTTCTGTTTGGGGGGCGGGGAATGAGAACTTGGAAGTTGGTTTGTGTTGAACTGTTCTGCAATTTGGATTTTTTTTTTTTTGGCATGTTGTCTTGTGTCCATTTTCAAAATCATCCGAAATTAATGGTTTTTTTTTTTCTGAATAGTTTTATTTTTGAAATTCCAAACTGTGACAATATTTGGGGTTAATAAGGTTTAATAGGTTGTTGTTTATTTTATTGGCAGTGGGAACTTTGTTGGGGGGCATGACTGGAGCCTTTATTGGTCAAGAGACAGAGAGTGGCTTCATTCGAGGGGCAGCTATTGGTGCCATATCAGGAGCTGTTTTCTCCATTGAAGTGTTGGAATCTTCTCTTGTTCTTTGGAAATCTGATGAATCTGGAATTGGGTGTGTTTTATACCTGGTGAGTAAGACTTGGATTTCATTTTCAAGGCCTAGTCAAAAAAGGGACATATAATTGCTACACAAATAAATTTGCTGAGTTCTCTGCTTAGCTCCTATGAGATTTTGCTGTCATTTTCACTAGCAAGTCGTGTAATCTAATCATTTGAACTTATGCAATGCAGATTGATGTTATTGCTAGCTTATTGAGTGGAAGACTAGTGCGTGAAAGGATAGGTCCAGCCATGTTGAGTGCTGTCCAAAGTCAGGTAACTTTTTTTTTGGTCCATAGTACTTTGCGAATGCAGTAGCTAAGAGACGAGAAATTATTATATAGTTTGGTAACGTCATGGTCAAACTAATCTCTCATGACACTGTTAACAATTCTTTTTCATAAATTAAAAATTTTAAATACATGTCTCTTAGAAATTGGTTGGGATTATACATAAAAGGTGGTTCAGGATTTCCTAAAAGACAGAAATTTGGCTATGCACTTGCACCATCTTGCTTATGCCCTTGCTCTTCCTTTCTTAGATGGGTGCTGTTGAAATGAGCTTTGATGACGTTCAAAACATCTTTGACATTGGTGGCTCCAAAGGTTTGTCGGGAGATTCAGTTGAGAAGATCCCAAAGACCACAATTACAAGTGACAAAAATGTTGATGCTTCTGGGGAGAGAGTTTCATGTTCAGTTTGCCTCCAGGTATGTTTATGATGCTACAATTACAAGTGACCTTGAAGTGTTGTTGAGCCATTTTTGTTGTTGTTAAGCTTATGTATTTTGAAACTGATATTCTGAACCTGTGCATTTGCAGGACTTTCAGCTTGGGGAGATAGTTAGAAATTTGCCTTATTGTCATCACATGTTTCACCTACCTTGCATTGATAAGTGGCTGATCAAGCATGGTTCGTGCCCATTATGCAGAAGAGATCTTTAATTTTGTATATGCAAAAATTGCAAAGTATAACTATAAACCGTAAAAATGGCTAGCTTTTTTCATTTTTTATATGTAAGGGAATTTACTTTTATTAGGATGTGTAATATGGTTAACATTAGCAGGAACTAGGAACCAACCATTCCATGCCATTCATGAGTGGCATCATTGTAATAAGTTACTAGAAAGAAATTTTTGACTTAAATCAGCTGTTATTTATTGTATATATGGCCTATTACAAAAAACATGAAACAGTAGTCTAGGGAGCACAAATCTTTCGTTTATTTTGATGGATTGCCATGGCGTGGGGTATGGTAGGGGATTATCACTATAAAAAAAAAAAATCATTTCAATAACTAATTATATCTATTATCATTCATCAATTATTTTTACCAGTATTTTAGTTTGTATATTTTACAAATTAAATGTTTATTATATAATTAAAATTTATAATAAATTATATGTACAAATATAATTTATATATCTAAATAATTTTAAACATTGATATTATATTTCTAATTTCAAATAAATAATTTATTTTGTAATAAAAATATATTTTTTAATTAATAATAATATATATTAACAAATTAATATCTAGTTTATAAATAAATATGATAAATAAATAAATTAAATTAGATAGAAAGTTTTCAAAAATTATTAAAAAAAATTCGTCAAAAAATAATTCCTAAGATCGATCTCGTTGGCTTTTAATATATATTCGTTGATTTAGATTATAGAAATAGGTTTCATACTTTGTATAAAAACCAGCCGACAATGTTATAGTTTTCCACGTATACCTTTTGATAACATTTTTATAGAATACAAAATTAATTGATATAAATAATTAATTTGATACTACTTAAGTTTCTGGTAATGTTTTAAAACAAATCATATAAATCAAACATTTGTTGTTATGGGTTATGAATAATAATTAATGATTTAATTAATAGATGTCAATATTTACTATTAATTATTATACTATTTACATTTTTGTTATGTATTATTTCTTTTTTTATGTAATTGTTTAACTACCATATATACTTATAAATAGGTTATCCTCTCTTAAAGACAATACATTAATTAGATTTTTTTCTCCATCTCATATTATTTTTGTTAAGTTAGACAAAGACGAAAGCAATTCCCAGCAAGGTTTTGAATGAGACAAATATAATACATACTGTTATTTCTAACAAGTGTGATAGTGTTTCAGATATAAGTATACAAGCAAGTTGATATGCATCCATACCAGGACTAAGAGACATGAGCTAAGCACTGGATAAAGGCTGAGCAAACGAAGGGAACACATCAGACGAAGACAGTCACAAACACAACCACAAAAGAAATAAAGAAAAAGGACATGAGCAACCAAGATGATGGACAAAACTAAGTTAAAAAACACCAGACGGAGACTCGAATACACAGACGAAGATCAAGAAAAATGGATTGCGTCTGAAGACACAACGAGACTGTAATGTAGAGAAAAAAAAAACCAATGTGGCTGATTCAGTAGCCTAGAACGGGACGTTCCCAAACTGGAACGGGCCGTTCCAAACTACTAAATTGACCTGAAAAACGTAGTTGAGAACGAGCCGTGCTAGAGGGAGAACGGGCCGTTCCAAATTTCAAAACGGGCCGTTCTGGTTGGAGTACGGGCTGTTCTGGATGGAGGACGGGCCATTCTGATTTTAGAACAGGTCGTTCTGCATGTGGTTTTTGCACATGACGAAGGGATACAGAACGGGCCGTTACGGATTCGGTACAGGCCGTTTTGGCCACTCCGGAATGTCTATAAATAAGGGTTGTGGGCCTTGAGGAGAATGTGAGTTTTTAGAAAGAAGTTTTAGAGAGAAGGTCTCTGGGTCTGTGAGCTCCTTTCTCTCCTAAATTTCTCTGTATGATTCCTTTTCTCCTCTAGACCACTAATGCCTTCTGTCTTTTCTTGAAATTCATATTAGAAAGCTTGCTTTGGGAGGATTGAAGTTCCGGGTTGAACTTTGGAAGGAAATTCTATTTCGTCTCAGTTGTTGGCTATTTTGAGCCAATTTTCAGGTGAGGGAAGCTAGAATGTTTGTTGTTTAGGTTGCATGTGAGTTTAGAAACTCAATTAATGCATGAATGTTGAGAATCCAGAGATGGATTGAAGAAAATCTCATTTTTGGGGTTTTGAGAAAAAGGGAAAATTTAAATTTTAAATTTAAATCCAAAGAGAAAATTTAAAATTTAAAATTTAAAAAACAATATTCAAAATCTGGAAATTCAAAATTTGAAATTTAAAATTTAAAATTTTAAAATGAATTTTTAAAATTTGAATCTATTAATAATAAAATAAATTTAAAATTTAAAATTTAAAATCTGTTTTATAGCAATTATTAATATCATAAATAGGGATAGAAAATTGTCTAACCATTCTTATTTATCATGTCTACAAATTAATCAACTTTAAACTTTTTAAGTTGAAGCTAGATTTTAATGTCTTTAACCTGCCAAATACATTTGATTTGTGTTATAACAAGGTTCCGTCCAACAACAGTACAATAATGAGTATAAATCCTAGCAATGGTACTCTCGGCCCAATTTGCATCTGGGTTGGCTTTTATTTGTAAGTATCCACTTCATACAGTAATCCACTTCCTGGTGAGCTAAAATAACATAATATATAGTCATAAAATTAGCATTATTAATAGTCATAAGTCATAACTCATCATACAAAATTAAATACAAACCATGATAAAAGTCCAAAATAAAAAGTTTCAATGTTCCATCATACAAAATTAACTACAAACCATAATCAAAGTCCAACTCCAAAATAAAAAGGTTCAATGCCAAGCACCAAAATCTCTGAACCTTAAAATTCCAGCACAAGTTAGAGTTTACTGTAAACAAAACAGTTTCCTAAAAAGATTGTTTCATACTTTTATCAGAAGTTTCAGAACCATAAACATCGTAAAGAACAAATGATTCCTTCACTAAACACTTCAATGCATGGTTAGAAAAAATTTAGAACCAGAGAACATGTTATTCAAGACATTGAACATCGATTGAACCAGCGACGTGATGAAATCAGATTAATTTAAGTCAATTCTTCAAGACAAAGGAAAACGGATCCAGCATTGCGGAATAAAGTGCGAAAGACGTGGAATGAGAGATCCGAAACGAAAACCTAATGGAAAAGAGAAAGAGGAAATGGTACCTGAGGAAGAAGGAAGGGGATTTTGAAGGCGAGAGAGACGAGAGGGTCGAAGC